ATTAACATTTAGTATGTCTCATTTTGTTTTTCAACATACAACTAGCCATTCAATACATATGGTAACCATCTTATAGAAATAAAACAAACATTTATTCCTTCATTTTTATTTTGTTTATTTATCTTCATTTTGTGCATGTTGGGGCATATTTAATTCATTTAATACATTCAAATAGTGTGTTTTCTTAAACATTCACCGATCAGTGGTGACAAATAGTGAATGAAATTTCTTCTCACATCTCAGATTGATTTACAATCTGTTATCTTAACATACATTTCGTTGCAGATCACAAGTCTCATACACACTATATCAAATAATTACTTTCAACATTGTTAACATGATTGGATGATCTATTCAGTATACAGTTAACGGAAGAACTATATTTCTATTTATATTCAATCATTTTGATATTTGATTATCTTTCTTTGAAAAAGCTTTGACTAGATTGCCAAAAGAAACATTGGAATTACTTCGAATTCATTTATTAAGATTATACACATATTACTATTCCTCCTTGTGTTTTCAGTAAACGAAATCCTTTCGGTATTAAATATTCTTACTTTCATTTAATATATGAATGATTAAAATGATTTTTGTTTTAGAAAAACAAATGGTTATTTCATAGAAATCATGTGATATGTACGGTTTATTATTCATTCCATTAAGAAAAAAAGGAAAAAATCTGTTTTAATTTTCACTGTATAATCTCTGGGTAATTTGCCCTTTAGATATTGTAAATGAACATAAAATAAATATATTCTATTTTATTTAATATTTATCATGATAATATTGTAAAATGATGTGATAAAATGAAATAAATTTTAAATAAAATTAAGTTAAATGAACTTGAACAACATAGAAACAAAGCCCTCAAATGGTTTGATAAGAGTGAGGGTGGGGAGAGTCAGCTCACCCTGTCGAAATACTCTCACATGATCGTGTTCATACAAGTCCTGCCAAGGAAGTCCTACTTACTGCCTTCTTGTCGTAAGGGTGTTGTTTACGAATTTGAGAGTACGAAAAGCAAATATCCAGTGTTTTAATCGGGTTGGTGGATATAGAGGATCCATCTAGGAGAGTTAGCAAACCATGGTTTTAAAGTAATGGTGCAAATGAGCTTCAGGATCCTAAGGAAATAAATGGCGTATGAATCAATTGTTGTTCACTGGCTACCATGGAATTGAATCTGCATACGTTGCTCTGATGCGTTGTGGATCAGACCTTTAAGTCAAAGGCTCGGGGTGTGGACCTTAAGAAATCCACCTACTTCTGTTTGGGCCCTCACATGAGTCGAATGATTTATTTGGCGCATATATATTTGGTGCCTTCTTGTAACAATGTTTCTAAGTTTAGATACATCAAAACAAAGCAACTCATTTTAATGATTGTTTACATCTCCTAAATGTTAATGTCAACACCTGTAATTGATTCGACTCTGTCCTAGAACAGATCCTGGTATTAACTATGTGTTTGGATGATTTGTGAAACATTTTCATTTACATAATATCTAATACTTTTCAATTAATAGATGATGAATGTAAATTATATTGCCTAAAGAATAATGTTCTAACATTGAAAATCAATTAAGATAAATAAAAATTCATGGTAAATATTACGTTAGTCGAAGATTTTATTATACATAAATGATGAATTGTATATATATATAAAATGTGAAATGGATTCTTAAGATTTTCTATGAACAATCTAAAAGGATCTATACATATTGTCAAGAAACAAGTTTGGTAATAGTTCAGTGAATATTTATTCATCTTCTATGTACATTATTTGTAATTTATCAAGTCAATAAATGTAATGTATGATTTGTTCATTTTCTCACGAAAAGTTTTTTTTGTTGAAAAAATCTATGTAAATAATAGTGATGTCATCAGTAATTGGGCAACTGCACAAGTTGTTTACATTATGGATAAATCAGTAAACATTTATGAGAAAAATTTATTTTTGGTTTAAAGATATGTGAAGATTGTAGTACTTTCACAATTGATTTCATGAGTCAGTTGTGGATTTTCACTGTTGAGAAGTTTCATTACTAGGACGAAACAGTCTAGTTTACATCAACTACTGAATTCAGTTGTATGAAATCTATTTGACCAAAAAAAATCATTGATGACAATTGAAAGTATAGATGATAAAAGCCTTAAAATTGATAATACAGTTTGATTTAGAAATTTGGTAAAATTCATAATATGTTAGGAAACTGCAACAACGATAATTCATGCAAACTGAACTAATCATACCATTTTACTTGTTGGATGCTTGATTTCGAATTCTAAATACAATACATTTGTTCGTGCTTTTCTAGTACTTCTTGATTTGATTACGTTAGTTCTGGGATTCCTAGTTCATACGATAATTCAAATACTTCTGACATTATATTAAGTTAATATTTTTCTTAGAGAACGCATTCATCAATATACTGATGGTCTTAATTCAGAAGAATATAAGAAGAAATAAGTAATTTTATTAGGATTATGGATTGTTTTCATTTAGATAACCATTGAAAACGTAGATTGAGTAAAGTCAAACTTGGATTTCTGAATTAATGATCTGTATGAAAGGGATTTACGTGTGAAACCGTAGGTTCTTGAATCTTAAGGGTTCATTGATGAGGAGTTTTCAATATTTATCTAATTTTGAATGACTCGTTCGTTCTATCAATAAAATTCAACAGCTTCCATAAGTAATCTGTTACATTTATATCTGGATAATTTCTCATTTTAAAAAAACGGTTATGAGTTATAGCATTTATTCTAATTTAAATAGAAAAATCAGCTAAGGAAAACGTTATCTTTTATGTAATGTTGTTTTTAAAGAATAGTGAACAAATAACTGCCTTCTTTGACAAAAGATTGATAACAATTCATTAATTTCTTTTGAGACCTTCGGCGTCGCAAGGAAACACTTCATTTCTAGACCACTAAACCATTGATCGATTCATGATCACAATCAAAGTTTAACAATTTCTACAACCCTGTATTGATAAATACTTTTTAGTTATTTCTGAAAATATATTTTTCATATGATCGCTTCATGAACATCAATTAACTAGATACAATTTTCGAGTTAATAACGTTATACGACTAGTTATTTTGATGTATAAGCCTTAGCAGCTGTATCAGCCATGGACTTCACCAAGTGATAAAGTTTGATTATTAATTATATTTAAGCAATTGGAGAATGAAAGGTATATGGTGTTTAAATAATCTATTATCACTTATGATTATAGATTATTTTAAACGTCCTACTCACTTTTAAGGAGATTTATAAAACAAAAGTACTTCGAAGGTTGATTCACCTAGTAGTAACTTGATATAACGGTAGGATAATAATATTTCCTGCTTGCCACAATATACTACCATTATGGCCATTACGATCGGTGACCAAGCTCATTCTATCACTACATTGCATACTTGATCGGTACACATAAACAGAGAGTATGGGTGAGACAAAACTTTATTCAACACAATTAGGAGCAACAAATACTCAATTATTGCAGAGAAGAAATCAGTAATGATAATGGACTCACGTAATTAATCATCAGGAAGCTGTGCGTCTTGCTCACTTTCACTAGCCATATATTATAACCTCATGGGTTTTTTATGATAAAAAGTATTTTCGCATAAAATAAAATATCCATATATTGCTCTTCAACGACTTTCTGATTACTAGTAATAAATTTTGACAATTAACATTCTATACCAAGTAGTATAACACATTACGATATCATAATATATTTCATTATATACTCAAATATCTTAGTATCGAAATTGAACATAATGGATCTTCTTGAAAAGTTGAACTATGTGGTCAAATAGAAGGATTATGCAAACATTATACTTAGAATATTTTTACCTAATATCAATGAATGTTGCCCTTATTTATGCAATAAGCTCTTCAAAGTGTACTTATCACTTACACTGAATATTCATCTTTCTCAGTTTATCTGATTTTATCCAGGTACATGGTTATTTGTATGTTCGAATTAAGAATAATATACTAGCCAATAAAATGTGAATGAGCAAATGAAAATGATCAAGAATTCAGCATAATGTTGTTTTCTAATTATAGTTGTGCCGTACCATCCTTCGCCAATGAAACTGATTTTGTAATTTTTCAGTAAGAATTTCAGAACATTTTATTTCAATACTAATTGAATGCAATTTTCTACTAAACCAATTGAGAGCGTGTGGTAATTTGACATGGTAAATGATGTTAAATAAAATGGCAGTACACTCGGACTTATAAGTTATTTCCTATACATTCATATCAATGAAGTAGTCATAATGTAGTCGAACCCAAGATAGAACTTACACAATTGTTAATCATGCTGACTGATTAATTACGTTTTGTACTTACTCTTCTCGTTTGAGATTCTAAAAGAGCTAGGACTACCTATGGTACCGATTAATTTAATGATCAATATCTTCTTTTCGGCCATAAATTTAATACTTCTTCCGACAGTGATACTTGCATGGGAATACATTTGATGTTCATGAATTATTAAAGAATATATCGGATCAATCATTCAAAACAATCATCTTTGAGCTTTTAATTATATAGCTTTCTAAGGAACTATTTTTGTTAATTTCGTAACATTCAATGTTGTTAAGCAGAATGATCAATGATTATTATTTATTTTTAATTGAGATCATGAGTCGATTCAACCTAAACCACCATTGAAAACCTTTAAGCACTAGATGGCCATTTTGTTTTAGTATGTGACTCCTTAACAGTGTTCATCCATGATTCCGCACACTGAATTCGAACCCAGGATCTTTAGTCTCGCGCACGATCTAACATCGTTCGATTCATGATCTCAATCAAAAACCTAACAATCTCCACAACTACATACTGATAATATTTATTTATTGTTAAATATTTAACATTTTCAAATAACATTTATCGTTGGGTTTTTTTCGTTATTAACTCATTAAAATCAATCAAGACTTGCGCATAATTCAAAGAGAATGAAAAGACAAGCCTACCTGAAGTATAATTTTATTTACAATGTTTATCGCTGCATACAGAGCAAATGATGTAAAGTCATTTTGATAGATATATATATATTTCATATAAAAATGAGCTAACATACCGGAAATCTTTCTTTCTACATAAAAATAATACCCTCTTTATTTAGATTGTTGATCATATATTGGTAGGTATTTGTCATTTCTTCATAACATAATAAACTTGATTCAGAATTTCATTAATATATAGTATATTGACATTTGAATACTACATCATTTGCGATGTTTCTATTGAAGAACCTGTACTGAATTGTCCACTATTTAATGTATCAATAAATCCATGTATATAATGTGTATTTAAATAATCATTATCAGAAACATTTAAAACAACTTTATATTCATTATCTTTTAAATATTTATCTGGTATATATTGTTCAAATGTTTTAATTGGAAGCTCGTTAACATTGAAATGCATTGAACCTATTTTAGGTAAAGATGTTTTTATTAAATTGTATTGATCTATTCCTGTTGATGATTTTCTGGGTAAATTTATTGAATCAGTTACTAAGATAAAAGGTGTTACTGTAGTATTAGAATAATTGATTTTATATCCACTAATTGATGTTCGATCACATAGTGAATGTGATTGATCATCTGAAACTGATGATAATTGTTCTTGATTTTGTTTTAATCGTTTAGATATCATAGTATATCTTATATCATCCATGCTTAATAAAGAACCTACTGAAGCAGTTCTATAAGTAACTGATGTCGGAGAGAATTGATGTAAATGACTCATTTGCTTTGTTTCAGTTAATTTAGAACAATGTGAATTTACATGTTTATTACGATGACATCTATAAGCTAGAAATGTAACTGAGATTAACATTATTAGGCCAGCACCGGCTAAACTAATTAACAGCCAAATATTAACTTGTTCATGTAAACGACTCATTGTTTTAAACACTTTCCATTTATTATATTGTAAATAATTTGTCTGTGAATGAATTATATCTGACTGTATAGATTCATTAGAAATATTGTTATTAAAATACTTATAGTCCGATGATGATAATAATGAAGAGGAAGAATTAGAATAAAAGTGAAATGGTAATGAATTGGTTAAGATTTGTTTTGTTATCTCTTCACTAACTGGTTCATCACGATTCACGTAGTTTACTCCACTATTAAAAAAATATGTTGAACTTAAAGTATAGTTGTTATCTTCAAGAAATAACAATGAACTAAATTGTAAAATATAGGAAATACAAATACTTACAATTAAATGTAACTAAATGACTGTTTTCATTGAATGCTAATGTTACATAATATTGCAATATTTATATTCTTGAACAGATTATATAATACAAACGGGTGTAACTAATTATGGAAGAGGAGACTCAAACTAAATTTTATCTTTTTCTTCAAACTACTTAATAGACTATCTTTTACATCTAGTCAAGTAATTCAATATGCAGAAACGTCTCATTCTGTCATCCGTAACTCCTTGTCACTAGTGAAATAAACTTATTGTGAATCATCTCTTTATATAGATTACTTTATGTGTAAATTTTTTAGACTTTGGAATAATCTATCCGTACGATAAAATCACTCCCATTATTTGTTCTCTGCAGTGATGCATACTGCTCCTCTGAAAATGCATGGAATGTTCTAACATCTGTAGGTGTATCTTATTCCATAAGTAATATTAGAGAAACTTCAAATGTTTAGACATTATTATTAGTGAATTCCCTAAAGAGAACCACTTACCTTCTGTCACTTTACGTTAACACTGTCCCTAGCAAACAGTATATCACTGTGTCACATGACACATGCATTTTGGTAGACCTGATTGACATATTTTGGTAATTATTGCATTGTTGATCCGTGCTCTCTGTTTTCGTTTCATTTTCTCTATTTGTGGATAATTATCATTATTTTGATCTAGCACACGAAATGACTTTAAATACACCGTTCATAAATCAAAAGGCTGCCCACTGCAGAAAAATTACAAGTTCCCGGCTGATGCATTTCGTCGCTATAATACATGTAATACCTAAACAATTACTGAACTAGTATACTTAAAACTATCTTATATCATATGTTTGTTCTGTACATCTTATGTTACTATTTATATCAGATTGGTCATGGCTGTAAACTGGCGTGAATTCTGTAATTATCATTTTCAGAATATATATATATATATAAACAAAGTATAAAATTCTGACATTGAAGTAAATATAAATCTGGAATAGCATGCCTGTTTAGTGTAAATAAAGTTTCTACATTGATAATTGACGATTGTTATTTTTAAAACAATTTTCTGATTTAATATAAAATATCATACAAACTTACTAACGGATCAATAGGTTAAGCATTTGCTCGCAAGACCTAAGGTCCTGGGTTTGAATCCTGCTCGTAGGATGGTGGATGTGCACTGCCGAGGAGTCTCATACTAAGACAAAATGTCAGGTAAGTACTTTCAGATTTTCAGTAGGGATCTAACATTGGTGGATTTGTGATTTCAGTGAAAATCATTTATGCAATACTTACAAGACAAATACAAACATTTTAAAATAAAACTTATATATTTTCCACTAATTAGTTGTTATCTGGACGTAATACCTCAGTGGACAATTCATTGGAATTTGAAGCAAAAGATCATTGAAAGAACTTCATAACCAGGATGAAAGTACATCCGAATGATGAGCCTCAAGTAGGAAGTAATGTGGTTCCTAAATCTAACTGTTAGCCGATATCACTCTTTACATATAATATGCACGTTTGAATGGTAACTAATTTCAAATGTACTAGGTCATATATCTTCTTATTTTTAAACATTATGAGGATGCATTATTGAGTACTTCTAGTTATTGCAACACAAAACATTAAGCGGTCCATTGAGTATCGTTTTTCTATTTTCAATAAAGAGTTTTCAAGTAAAAGTGGGTTATGTCAATCGGAATCAAGAGAGCAGCTTTTAGAAATAGTTCAAATTTACTGAAGAAAGACAACAATTTAAATCATAAAAAGTTTTAAGAATATCAAATTCATAATCTACAATTACAATCAAATTTCTATAAACCTCCTTAAAGAGCAATTTTAATCAGCTTTGTCTAGCTGATTCATTTTCCATAAACAGTCGAATTTCTTTTGTTAAAATTCGCTATCCAAAACCTATTTCGGAAACTTCTAATTACATATATTGTGAGGTTACTCCTTTGTTTAATAGTGCCTTTATATGTGTTATATATGACTGTATAATACAAATCAGTGTTATGTTTGAAATCTACTGATGAACTTTAGAGTGTGATCTGATGTGGTGAATAGACAAAATTACACATTGAACTTGACTGGATTTTTTGATCCAACATTACGTCCGTTTTTAATTCAATATGATAATTATTCAATGTAATATGTTTTTATTGAGATCATGAACTGATTGATGTTAGATCACCATTGGAAACCTGGAAGCTCTTGGTGGCTGTTTCGTTCTATTATGGGACTCCCCAGCAGTATACCATTTTTCTCAGTATAACAATAGTTAATTTCGGTTTGATGTTTATTGAATATTTAATACACATGATATTAAATTACCTTGAACTATATACAGCATGATATGTGGCTTGCAACTTTGTTATGTTTTCATACAAGTGACCATATTTCATTATTTGTGCAAATCAATATATAAGTGGATGTGTTTTCGACTAGGGTTGTCGTCGTGTTTCTATGTTAATAAATCTTCACTTGTACTGGTCTTCCATGTTCTTACTTCACGTCATGTACAGTGATGCCAGTGTCAGTTATTTGATATTGTAGTGAACGAGAACACCATTCGGGACAACTAAGTGTATTCAGATATAACATTACAGAATATCTTGGTAAAATCTGAGAACCATTCAGTAAATATTTCATTTGCAAAATGTTGATCAATTTTCACATACTTTACAGTTTTTTATTCCCATTCCAATCACTCTCTGTTTTCGTTCGCTTCTCTCCGATGTTCTCAACCTTCTGTCACTAGGCATTCCACTTTCGATTGGTGAAACATAGTACTTATATCTGTCGATATCAATAGTACACACTGCAGTATAAATTAACTTTTAAGACTAACTCTTTAAATGAATTCAAAATTCATTACTAAGAAAATATATGTATTTAAATGTAAACTCACTCTTTATAGTAGTCAGATTTGAGTAATTTCGGTTGAAATTTTGGTGTATGCTTCACATTTCCAAATCGTGTCACATGTATATACATTAAGTAGGATAAACCGGCAGCTATATCATGCAATAGTAATCCATTATAGTAAACACCTTAAAAATTAATAGAAATTAGTCATTCCCAGTAAAACATATATCGTTTCTCATGATAATAAAAAAAGTGATTACTGAGAAATATTCGATAAAAAAATGTGTTTCTTGTCAAAGTAATGATAAACAACACCTAATTGATTATTCACACTTAACTGATGTTTAAATGAAATATTCATCCATCAAAAGAATATCGGAAAGCATGAATAATAAATATATTCTTCAATGAAATGAATCAATTACATTATACTTACGAAAACTTTTCTTTGTTTACATATTTCATCACTGTTATATAAGTTGTTCCTACCTAGAATTCTTGACCATTATTATTATTATTATTGTTACTGTCTCATATTCTGTATGCGAATGTTTTATTAGTGAGGCTATAACTTGTGGACGAACCAATCAGATTTACAATAACAAGTCTTGGATTGCGGCGCGAAATTCTTTATCCATTTGGCTAAATAGCGTTTTGGTATTTTAGCTGATGTTAGTTCGTGATGAAAACTACAAATCTAATCCTTATACTTAACCATCAAATGTAAATCACAATCCTTATCTTTTACAAAGGTTTAAAACGCTCATTTAGCCCTAGTCAATAGGTGGACCTACTCAAGGTCACTTTCTCGTTGCTTAAAGGCCGTTTTAATTAACAAAATCCACATATTCTTTGTTTACCCAAACTGAATTGATTTGAGCTTATTCGAATGAATCTGACAAATTGTGTCATACATATATTTACTATAATAATTAACTTTATACCGTTTTAATTAGTTCACTGATTACAATATATGGAAATTATTTGAATGGCTGGTATTTATACGCTACTCTACCTTTGAAATTCAATGAAAGCATAATCAATGAACATTAAAATATGTAAGAGAATAAAGATAGTTTATTGTATTAAATTTAAAAAATGAAGTAACACTTGAATAATTACACATTGCCTAGTTTCTTTTAATTTTCATCTATAAATAGCCCGTTCAAATGCCCGGCTTATCTCTTCTATAAAACATGTATTAATTACCAAAAATTTTCCAGGTTTAAATCTGTTTCCATAAACAGATTATATCTAATAGACGAGTATAATTATACAATTTCATAGAGTGTTTACAATCTAATTAATCAGATACCTTAAATGGAATACTAGGATTGTCGGTAAACTTTCTAACCTTAGTTTTGTAGAAACGAGAGGCGGTTACAATTGGAATGCATGCACCAAATGTATTATGTGAAAATAGACGTCATAAGAATAAAACTGGTATTAAATATTTGTGAATGAGTATGAATAGGAAATAATTGTTATTTAAAAGTTGAATTCCAATAAAATGGGGGTTTCGTTCTGTTGTGTGCCAAAAATCCTCTAATCAAGCACATATTACTGAACAAATAGAACGTTGTTATTTAGTCGTCAATGTAGAATTGTGAACATTGTTGAAACTTATTGTGATTACGAACTGATCTAATTTAGATAACCATTGAAAAGCTGGAAACACTGAATTGCCACGTTTTTCTAATATGATACAATGGAAGATAATTGCGTAATATTGATTGAAATTAGACTTGTACACAATTGTGTCCCAACGCATTGGTTTACAGATCAGAAGTTTAAGCGTGAGGTTGAAAATTTTAAAATCAGTCCCTATGGTTGGGTCATGAATGCACACTTCACGGTAGTTATATACTATGACGCAACGGCCATGCAGTTTTCTAACTTTTGTTTGTGTTATTAACAAAGTTGTACATAATCAAATACAGGATTTTAAGGTCAATCTTAGGTTGATCTTTAGTGCAAACCTCTTCAACTTTTACGTTCTGCAGCTTTATGAATACGTCTGAAACCTTAAACGTAAATGTAATGGTTCGTGACGGTACTATTACAGCTCTTATCCAAAACTTATTAAAAAATGTTTGTGCAAACTGTTAATGTTAAAAGTTGGATAGAATTTGTGTAAATAAGTAACTGACATATAATTTCGACATCTAATGTCGTAAACAACAAAATAACGTTTATTTTATTAAATGTAATTTTTTCTTTAAACTAAATATTGAAGTATAACCATGTATACTCAAGACATAAAATGTTCCATGTCAATTCAAATATTGTACAACTGAGAAATTTTAACGTAATAACATCCTATGCAATTTTATGGTGTAAATAACTGTACTGAAAACAGTCTGATAAATGTAACTGTGAAAAAAGGGATATCGGGTTCATAGCTTCCAGAAACTCTTAGCTTTTACTTGAAGACGTCATAATCATTGTTTGTGATGACCATTCAAGTCCCTTTATATATATTAATACATTGAATTGATTTTCTCTGGTTTGGGTTTTTGCAGAAATGTTGTTGTTTACGAGATGGGTTTCAAACCTCTATGTTCAGCTCACTACTTTTTACTAAGGCTTTCATCTGGTAACAACCGTAGAGGGACTTCAGATTCAATATGATCTTAAAGAGATAATTGTATATTTATAGAGTTTTACAGATACTGATACCTATATTTCATTGAAAATGAAAGAAATACCATTACCCCTTCTAATATACACGGATATTATAGTTTTAGAATAATGTTGACAACGAGAAAAAAATAGTCGTTTTTAATATGTTTATAAATGTAAACATAGTGACCTAAAAACTTAAATAAATTTTTTTCTCAGAAGGCGTTTGTGGAGATTTTAGAAATTTCACAGATTGAAATCATGAGTCAATTGAAGCTAGACCACCATGGAAAACCTGAAAGCACTGGACGGCCGTTTCGTCCTAGTACGAGACTCCTCAGCGGTGCGCATCTACGATCCCGCACCCCGCGGGATTCTAACCCAAGACCTACTGGTTTCGCACGCGAGCACTTAACCTCTAGACTACTGAGCCGGCATCCAACGTTGTTAATGTCTATAAAAAAACATCTAAATGTTACTTTTGTAAATATATCATAATCCATAAGTGATTAATCAATTATATTCCTTATTTCTATGGTGTATAATCAAAAAATAAGAAAAAGATAATATAACTTACCAGTCATGTAACCACGAAAAAAATCCGTCTTATTTAATCGTGGTGCATGTCCAAGCCAAATAACTTTTTGATTATTGAACTGTTTCCCATATATACCTATGTTTATATAAAATTTATTATTGAAACAAACAAACAAACAAAAGAATTCGTCTATTTACTAGTCAAATATATCCGGATAATGATAGGTTAATATCTATTGAATTTTATTGTAAAAAAAAAACACAATGGAAAGTTTTAATTAATTAGTCGGCAAAGAAGAAAAAAAAACAAATAAGAAGAAAATTAATGGATGAAATGAAAATTCATTTCCTTTCTATATTGTTCCTTATATTTATTATTGAAGAAATCTATAAACTAATGTAATCATGTCTATATGTAATATGTAATAGAAGGTCTAAAGATTTTATTTCCGATAAAATATTCTTACCTGGAAATAAAAAGTGTAATAACTAATGAATAAGTTTGAATTAGAACACTTTAAAGTACATTTACATTGAAAATACAGATGAACTCTAGAATTGATTAACGTAGAATATGATATACAACTAATGACAATGGAATGTATAAAACCTTCATAATGGCAAATCCAGAAGATAAAAGAAACAGGAGAAGTGATTATTAAGTAAGAATTGAAAAAAATGTATAGAAAAGCATCGATATTTATAGATATTAGAGTTAGCTATAACATCATTATAATTCAACCAATCTGCAAGGAAGCAAATTAAGCTACCATCCAATCGTAGCATGACAAGTTTTTATTCTAGGACACTCTATCTGGTTCTGATTGTATGGAAACTCTTTGACTCCTTTAGGGACTCTAAAGGTTCCATCGTACTTCTCGGATGCCATTTTAACACCTAGTTACTGAATCGTCGTTCAAACATAATTTTTTATTAGAGCTATATGGATTTTCCAAAACGTTTGTATGAAATTATGGAGTATTACATTCATTGAATCTTTATTAAATTATTTCAAATATGTCGTTAATAAAAACTTGACGGTGTTTAAGATGTATCTGAGTATTTGATTAAGATCATTGTTGGGTGAGTGTTATATCACCATCTAATCCACTGTTTCTAAACTATGTTATCATTTTATTTCTGTTGATGTAAAAGAATACAGATTGAAGAGATGGGAACTTTCGGAATTATTTGATCAACTTTTATTATACATCATTGTATTATCTCATAACTAAATTATTGAACTGTTATATTTTTATATTTCATATGTTGTAAGCTACCGTTTGATTCATTAACTAATGCTATACATCTTATTATTTATAATTTATAATTAATCAAGTTATTTATAGTTTATTAGATTCACTGTCATATTGGTCTGTTTGTAGTGGCTGTGCTTCATTAACCAATCATCCTTATAACCGTTTTCATATAATCCTCAACGGTGTTTGAAATCAGAAGGAAAAGAGAAGCAGCGGCTAAAGTTTATTAGCAGATAACTCAGACCACAAAGCATAGAGGTAAATGAGTGAGTCAGCAAACCGAGAGTGTAGAGTGTTGAATGTACTTGTATATATATAGGAAAATGAATAGATAATCGAATCGATTAAGCAGCTGATAATAAAGCCAGCAGAATGAATATATGCGTAGGCGGTAAGCAATGTTCAGACACACATATTTCATACAAGCACAACAGTAATAAAGTATCGATGACTTTATCCGTTAAATAAGTTAACAAAAGTGCTTAACCGAATTAAATGTGAACACATTCAGTTGAAGGTGAGCTACTATGTGTTTGTATACAATATTGTTTTTCATTGATACTGTGATCCAGTACTTTATGTTTGTATATAAGCCTACACTGTTTAGAAGAATAATGATGAATTCTTGGTTGTTATCATCACATATTCGAAATGAAGTCTTGAAAGGAACGGAACGATAAACGTTCTGTAATTCCGATTCAAAATTAATCATGTTATTGATTAAGACTTAGGACACTGAACTATGGAAGGAAAAGTCGTTAGGATTTTTTGTTATCTAATATATCACATTGACAAAATAAGTAGGATTTGATTACGGGCTTATCATGCAGATCATCTTACCGTATTTTTTACGCTGTTGATAATGATGTTAATTAACGTGAAACTGTAATGAATTCCTGAATGAATCCAATTTAATTAGAAATGTTTGGTTAGTGAATTTATATGCACTGATAGTCTATATATTCTTTAATATAAATACTGCATAGTGATAACACCTTTCAATATCTACTTATTCAAAAGTCAGAATGTACATAATGGAAATCGTGTAGTCAAATTTTGAAAAATTAAAAGCATAGTCATGTGATTGAATGTTGATAAATCAACTTACTGTTTAGTTCATATGTATGTCTTGAGTCATCTACTTCAAGAATTATCTGACGATCGACACGATAGCCTCGGATTCGATGATAAAATCCATCATTGATTGGGAAATTAGGTCCACTGATGTGAACCACACCTCCACCCATGTTATAATTAAGCCGCACTACACCTGATTCCTAAATAGGAATTTTCAAAAAAGTTGGAAAAAAATGAAAAGACATTTTCACTGTTTTGTTAATTGCTAGTGACAAATGTCACATTTGGCTGATCCTTAAGGCAGACCTAATTCTCTAGATCACGTTTCAATATGGCCACTAGTCTATATATTCCGACATCGCATGTGCTAGGTGTCGTTGTCGGGCATTTATATGTAGTTGGTAGAAAACCTCTAGCTTATGTTTTCCGATATTACTGTTACCTGTTGTTACTCAAATACCTCAGTGATGAAGTCTCAAACTACAGCATTGAATAAGGCATGTTTGAACCCCATAGAGAATATCTGTTTGCTTAACAGTTCAGGTATGCCCTATTGACTATTCTCAAATAACATGAAACTAATGACCAATGTTTCCTGCAAATGACCTTTGAGTACACAAGATAAAAACAATAAAACTATATAGATGGATTCTTTGTAAAATTGTGTTTGATGTTCAGATGTATATAGGTTTGATAAATTATCGACCAGTTATCTTGAAGCATTTAAAAATTAGAAATCAAAATCCATAACGACTGTTAACGTTGTTTTATCACTCTCACATAATAGTTAAGATTTTGAATTCTAATTGACTCATCCTAGCTGGTAGTACTTTTAACGTAAATGATCTTTCCTTTTCATAAGTTGGCTAGACGATGATCATTTATTATTAAAATGATTTTTCTGATTTTCAAGATTGTTTTATGAAGAATGTTACCTCATTATTAAGTGTACTGGTATTTTATCACTTCAATGTAATATATCTGTAGCAGCTTCTATCGATCTAATTGATTTAACTCTTATGTAATGTGAAACCCATGTTCATCTGATTTAAATTCTAAATCTAGAATTTATTCCGTCTGCTTTTGTCATATCAGCACCTAGTTATCTATCTGACTAATATGCAATCTAAATCTAATCTATACAGATGAATATCATCTTTAAACTTTTAATAATGTTATAATATGTGTGTAGCATTTACTGTGAGCATCAAATCTTACATAAAGCTATATGTTCTTACAAACATAGAAAGTAATAAGAATTGACTCAAAAGAGTCTTGTCTGTCCAACAAAAAGATGTAAAGTTAGCCGCTTGACTTTATTATGATTCAAAATGTTATTCCTTTTCATCTCTATATTCAAATGATATGAATAATAATAAGGATATCATAAGATTATTCAAATTTTGTAAAGAATATTAAACTTTTGCTAGAAATAATAATCATAAGTACCTATTTTAATTTCAGTTTCCAATATGATCTCTGCCTATATCGATTGGTTGCGATTGCGCTTGGTTCGCTAAGTTTCTGAGTTTTTCAAGGTTATGTTTTCGATGCTATAAATATAGTAATTTTGTCATACTTGTTCTATTTTGAATATCATGTTTTCGTACAATTTTTGTTCTCCATGATTTAGCGGCCAAATGTTGAAGTATTGTATGCTAGCTGCCGTTATCCCTTTGCCACGTAAAACCATTCCTAATTCCTCAAGTACTATGGGCTTATACGGAACTCCCCAATATTAAGAGTTAACACTAATTGGCTTAATCCCATCTATATAATGTTTTTTTTTTAAATTTCCTTTACTGTTGAACTGTTTTATTTATCCGGTGAAACACGAAGTCACATTTATCAGCCACACATGAAAACTTAATATTAAACGCTGATCTATCTGATCTCTTCAGTTTACTAATTAATGAATCAATTAAATTACAGAAAGCAAGAACGAGGATTGGCGCAGAATAATATGAATTTCATGTTATTCCGTTTGTTTCTCATCAGCTGCTTACAACCTATAATGTTTTAAAATTAACGTTATTACAGATATTGACATACTTATACACATGAGTTTGACTACACATGAATATATGTATCATGATGTATTATTCGAGGTATATTGGTGATACTTTCTACGTATGTAATAATCAACAACATTCAACAAATCTTCTAAAACTTTTCAGTGAAGCCCATACAAATATCCAGTTTACTATAGAACATGAAAATGAAAACACGTTCCGAAGCGATAGTAACCAAACGTCTAAAACCAGATTTATGTTTACAAATAGAGACAGTAATAAATCTTTCTTTGCTCTAGTAACATTAAACGCCTCTTTTATTTAATACGTCATGTATTATTTCAACTCTTTCTAAAGTTTAAATTACAGCATTGTCATTTTTCTTCAATTCATAGCTGACTGATCTCAATTCAGATCTTTCTTCATAACCAATAATCTATTTTCAGTTGCTTTATTACATAATCATTTAATCAAAAATAGATATGGGCTAGCAGTGGAATCCAGGACGCGCGTTCTGCCTATTTGGATGAACCAGCATCCCAGAGTTGATGTTCACTCTGGGACTCGAACCCAATGCCATTCGCTTCAAATGCCATCGCGTTATTCACTTAGCTACTGAGTCCTGATAACCACCTGTTTGTGCAATGTGGTGAAGATTAAAATCACTTGGTGTTGTTGTTGGTAGTGAGTTCAAGTCCTGGAGTGAACATCAACTTTGGGATGCAAGTACATCCATCTAACGAGTCCCAAAGGGGACGAAACGCGCGTCAAACTGGATTCCACTGCTAGCCACTATCCACCATTGCTTACTGAAAGCTTGTGAATTAGGGCAATATCGAGGCATACGCACAGTATTCACATATGCCAACAACAGACTGATCAATTGCAATCTTAGACCTCAATGGGAAGATACAAGCCAAACAATACCAAGTGAACATAATCATTTAATGTTTGTTAACTTTATTAGTTTTAATCACTATTCCAATGTTCTGGAAATTCCCCTCCTAAACCTTTTTTATCCGAAACAAACAATTTTTATGATCTTATTAAACTTTATTGAAATCTTCGATATATCATGATACATATATATTCATTTTTAATCACCCTTGTTTGTAATAAGTATGTTAATATCTATAATAAAGTTGATTTTTAAATATTCTACGTTGTAAGTAGGTGGTGGGGATCTAACGAAACACGATAAAATTCATATTATTATGTACCAATCTTCGTTCGTGTTCTCTTTAGGATAATAAAGGTAACCATGTGTATGAAATTAAATTATATCCATCTTATCAGTATAGGGTTGTGGAGATTATTAAGTTTTTGACTGAGACCATGAACTGACTGATGCTAGACCACCATTGCAAACCTCGAAGTACTGGGCGGTCGTTTCGTCCTATTGTGGGACTCCTCAGCAGTGCACATCAGCGATCACGCCCCGCAGAATTCGGATCCAGTGCCTTCGATCTTGTGCACGAATCAGTTCAATCAATTCCTGATCTCAACCAAAAACCTAATAATCTCCACGACTCTATACCGATAGTTACCATGTGCTCACTAGTAACTAGCTTCGTGAGGGAATTCTTGGATTTCTAGTGAGAAGCCGTGACCAGTGGAGCAAATCCGTGTCGGGTAGAGACAGGTATCTTCCTCAATACAATGGAAGATGGTCACAGGATTTCGTGGATTGGTTGAAGTTAGACATAAAAACCATTGGATTCCGGCTCAGTTGTTCAAAGGTTAAGTGTTCACGAGCTAGACTGAAGGCCATGGGTTCGAATTCCGCCCGTGGGATTGTGGATGAGCACTGCTCAGGAGTCCCATAATAGGACGAAACGGCCACCAAGTGCTTCCAGGTTTTCAGTGGTGATCTAACATCAATCAGTTCATGATCTCAATAAAAACACATTACACTGGATAATTATCATATTGAATTAAAAACGGACGTAATGTTGGATCAAAAAATCCAGTCAAGTTCAATGTGTAATTTTGTCTATTCACCACATCAGATCACACTCTAAAGTTCATCAGTAGATTTCGAAGATAATACTGATTTGTATTATACAGTCATATGTAACACATATAAACAAAGGAGTAACCTCACAATATATGTAAATAGAAGTTTCCGAAATAAGTTTTTGGATAGCGAATTTTGACAAAACAAATTCAACTGTTTATGGAAAATAAATCAACTAGACAAAGCTGATTAAAATTGCTCTCTAAACAGGTTTGTAAAAATTTTGTAGATTGATTGAGGTTAGGCATGAAAACCATTGTATGCCGAATCAATGGTCGGAACATTAATTGTTCACGTGTGAGACTGAAAACCCAGGGTCCGAGTCCCACCTATAGGATCGTGGATTCTCATAATAGAACGTAACGCTCTTCCAGTGCTTCCAAGTTTCCAATGTTGATCTAACATCAATCAATTCATGATCTTAATCATATATTCACCTTTATTTAACATGAAATTATCATCATTACTGTTAAATAAATAGTAATAGAAAAACTACATTGTACCTATGTATAAACTTACTAAAAATAAATGTATAAAATCACCAATTTGTGTTAAACTAGTAACAAATAATAAAGTGGTTATGTAATTATGAGAAATTTGTTCATTATTTTTGTGTTGGTTTTTATTATAAGTTAAATTTGTTAAAATTGTTTGAATACCAAGTACAAATTCATCTTGTCTTGTATTTCTTACACGATCTGTATAAATTAAACGTAAATAACCAATATGATCATTATCATTAGCAATTGTTTGATTGATATTATTTGATAAATTATAACTTATAGTTGTATCATACTTAACACCATATGCAAATGTTGTTCCAGCTAGAAAAGATGTTTTTGAAAAGAAAAATAAACAAACAAATATTATTAGAATATTGAAACAGATTTGAGTTTTTTTTTAATGTACAATTTATAAAACAAAACAAACAAGCATTCCTGGTTTAATTGATGAAGTAAGAATTTGATTCGATACAACTTTTTAAAGTCCTCGAATACCCTGGTACAGTCGAGGTTTGGGAGAGTTAGTTCTCCCTATCGAAATACTCTCACATGGCCATGTTCATGCAATCATTGCCAAGGAAGTCCTATTCACTAATTTCTTGTCACAAGGGTGTTATCTACGAAATTGAGAGGATGAAAAGCAAATATCTAGTGCTTTAACCGGGTTGGTAGATACGGAGGATCCATCTAGGGGATTTAGAAAACCCTGATTTCAAACTAATGGTGCGCATGGGCTTCAGGATCCTAAGGAAACAAATGGCGTATGAACCAACTGTTGGTCACTGGCTACCATGAGACTGAATCTGCCTACGTTGCTCTGATGCGTTATGGATCAGACCTTTAGTTCAAAGGCTCGGGGTGTAGACCCTAAGAAAACAACCAACTTGGGCACCCGGGCAGTATTTCGGCCCTCATGCGAATTGAATGATTTATTTGGCACGTATATATTTGGTGCCTCCTTGTGCGAATGTTTATGTGTTTAAATGAATAAATAAATAATAATGAACTATGTTCTACTTCCCATCATAAAATAATCCAGGTTTTTAATCATAGTCTAATTAACATCAGTTAGTTATATAAAGTCTGTGATAATTCTATCATATTCACAAAACCTTATATTGAATAGTGTATGACAGTGTCTGTTACAAAGATCAAAACAATACATAGTTTAATAAGTGAATTAGACACAGTTTCATGTAGAAATAGCCAAATTTTACATGGATCATTGCTTAAATAGTCCCGAAATATATCAATTATAAACTTGAAAGTCTATTTGAAAAAAAGTTAGGAAAATTCTATATAAGCTTTTAATGTAGGATTACAAATTGATTCCAGTTGGACAATCATTAAAAATTGATGCTCCCCCCCCCCACGACTTCATCACAAATGATTAAATTTATGATCTCTGGTCTCGTGCATAAATTCTTTACCTGTAGACTACTGAGCCACAACCTAATGATTTCTTAGTATAATCCACGATATCGTGTCACTCCTTTCATTGACTTCGCGGTTTACTTTTCTCACGCATAGCATCCTTGAAACCCACTAGTCATGGCGTCTGACAAACTTCTTACAAGCTGTCAAGTTATATTTAACATAATAAAATAAACCACGTGTGTCAAGTGTATAATGTAGGAATTGTTATGTCTAGTTAATTGAGATTCTTGTTTAATGAATAAATTGACATAACTGAAATTAATCTATTGACTTTTTTCAAGAGAATTAATCTTACAGAACATGATAATAGTCGTCAAATCGATAATAATTTAAGATTAAGAAATAAACGGAATTTCATCCACGACTGCGATACAATTCGAATCATTTAAGATTATTCATCGAAGAAACTTTCTCTTTGAATATATCATTTAATATACATGTACAACTGTATGCATAGTGATTTAACAAGTATATTTTTAGTTAACCTTGATATATGCTGCTTGTTAAATCTGTAAACTTTGAATACTTTGAAGCATCCAGTTTAATATTACTGGGAAAATATACATTTTAAACTCATCAGTGTTTCAAAATAAAGTAATAGTTACTCTCTAGTCTAACTGTTACCCAGGTAACGGTAAGCAATCTGTAGGGATAATACGTAGTGACTTAACATTTATCACATACGCATAGTTATAGGTATCATACTCATATGTGTCACTTCTAATTAATATCAACCAAGACTTGTACAAGGTCTGATGAATTGTAAAACTTGATGATCAGACAAAAAATGAAGCATGTGGAATATCAAATTCATCTTTTTATTCGTTAATAATTACTTCTATCTGAGAAAAGTGTAATGAACCCATATTTTGTGTTCACAAAGGTATTTTAACGGTATAGACAACTGATCTTCAACACGGAAGTTATCTCCATTCAATTACACGATATATGCATATATTTGTTACTGAATTCGAATAAATAGTCTAATAATGGTACAGAAAAGAATTCTCTGTGTACTTAGGGAAGTGTAAATTATTATTAATCGACCTTATAACTTCACACATACATTCCTGGGCTGGTTCTCGGGGTAAATTCAAATTTATTTTTACTTAAAGAATCAAGTAGCCAAATACGAGTTGGGATGGAATCGATTTTTATTAGGAGTCAGTTAATTCATCAGTTCAGACACCACACACAGGTAGAGATCATGTAAAGTGAACTTTAAATATTTCTATCACTGTATCCACGATCGAGTAGTAATTAGTTTATTGACGTTATTTACAATAAAAAAGAATAGAGAGGGATAAAAAGTAGGTTACACAAAAACATTCCGATTCGCATACACGTGGACAAAAACATAGTTAATTGAATGATCAAATAACAAACAAGTTTAAAACAATAAGTCTCTTTTGTAAATCACGATGAAGCAATGAAATCAGATAAAGGTTAATGGAAATATATTGACCTTTGTCTGACCCACTTCTATCTGTCCCAGGAAAGATAAATTGGTTAAAAAACATGCTACACAGAGGGTTAGCCCTTAAATTCACAATGAAATTTGAACATAAATAAAAAATAATTACTTTTTTTACTGACCTTTTATACATCGATGCCCATCAAATGTAGTCAATTCACAGGCACACTTAACACCTAACCATGTATGTAAACAAATTCCATCATTTAAGCAATATGGTTGAAATAGTTTATTATTATCATTGTCTCCATCAACATTTTTATTTGTTCTTGTAATAGTTGAATGATTTTGAATACGTTGAATTTGATTACAGTTCAATACACCTTTCGGTCGATAATGACAATTGTCCACGATTTGATCTCGGCAGACAGGTAATGTCCAATTTTTCGCATATTTTAACTTAGCCATATTTAATAAATCAAATGGAGGTAGTCCATTTATAGAGAAATTGCCTAGACAACCCTTATCAAAAATTAAATAAATAAATAAATAGAAATGAACATGTATACCAATAAGTTTATAATGTTGTTGAATTCTCCCACTTAAGTGGATTAATAGTAGGCCTTTCAATGTCATTTCGGACATTATCATCACTACATAAAAGTAACGATAATGATGTAATCTGCAATTACAATAAAATTTTCGTTATTAAACTATTAAGTTCAGAGGATTCAGGAACACTAAGTCCATCCACATCTCCAAAATGTAACTAAGTAATTGATACAGTTCGTTTTGCTTAAACTGAAACTATAGAATATAAATGACATGGTAGAATTTATCAAGTCTGATTTCAGGGCTGTCTGATGAACCAGGCATTTGATTCGATTAAGCTGATTGAGACATAACATTCAACTTCCCATCATATAATATATTTTAGCCATGATCCGGTGTCTTGCACTACATTCATAAATATATTTTTATTCGGATATTTTGAGCTTTTGGAAAGTAACCAACCTCATCTACTGAACAAATCGTTTTTCAGATGAAATAAATTATTGAATTATTACATAAATCACTCAAATAAGTTTGGACGTGGTTGTTTTTTTATCCGAAACTGACATTGATTAAATAGTTAATTTCTAGTCAGCTGATTTGTTCTAGAATATTAAAATGTTTGCTCATTGATGACCTCATTTCAGATCTAGTTCCCTGAAGTTCTGGTAAGAGGAAACGACTTTAGTTATAAACAATTTTTACAAATAATAACTCTTTTTAAAAAAAACTAGTTTTAATGTTATACTTGATATATGATATTGGAAATATCCTTCTGTTTTCCTATATTGGGTTCGACGATCTAGCATGAAATATATGTGAAATTAAACCGAAGATCTGACTCGATTTGTTGATATTGTCAAGTGCACTTAATGATTGCATGTCTAAATTTGTCTACAATAGATCAATTTAACCTTATCATAACTAATTTAGATAGAGAAATGAATTAACACTAAAATGTTGTAAATCACAATCGGATTAGTTTAATTAAAATTTGTTATAAAAATAACGAATATCACTAAATGAATAAATATTTTGTTTGTCTTATTAACCACCACGGTAAATTTATAATTTATGGAAGACCATCGAGCGACGTTAAGGTGATCTTGAGAATGTTCAACTATTAACTAGAACCAAATAAAGGTTATAAACCAGTGTGAGGAATTAGAAATTTGATTTACAGATGACAGTTAGGGTTAGGAAATAGATTTAGGGTTTTATCAAAAAGCGATATCGATTAAAATGCAAAAACTCTATTTAACCAAATGAATAAATGAGTTTTTTGGTCAAAATCCAAAACATTTTAGGAATCAATCAGATTTACGATAACAGTTCTTAAATTTTGGCTCGAAACTCATTTATCCATATCGTTAAATAACGTTTTAGCATTTTAGCTAATGTCAGTTCGTGATTAAAAACCTTAAATCTAGTGCCTAACTCTAGTCTCATCAACTGTAAATCATAATTCAAATTCATCATACAGGTTTACAATCTTCATTTGATCTTAGTTATTAAGTGAACACTCTCAAGGTCACTTTAACATCGCTCATAGGTCATCCATAAATTATAGTCTCATCATTTATTATTTTATATATGATCGGTTCATTCATAAATTATGATAGTCTTGCCATCATTACATAATAAGGTTTCTAAAAGTGATTTTATTCAGGAAACGAAACGATATAATTAATATAATAGTTTGAAATTTGGTATAAGATTTCAAACACACCAACATTTAACACATTTACAAAATATTCCTTATTATTTATTTGAACACATAAATATTGGCACAAGGGGGCACCAGTTACATATGCGTCACATAAATCTCATTTGATATGTGTGAAGGCTGTGATACTGCCCGGGTGCTTAAAGCGAAGCAGGTACAAAATATTCCAGTCATTCCACAATAATCAAAAATACATAACTCAATATTTTATACTTTCAATTCATTAGCATATAATACCCTATTAAAGTTTGAATTTTTAACAGTACAATATTATGAAAACATAAAAAGTTTCCGTCTTCTTTTCTTTTTTCTTATCAAAGAAACTTAATCTAATCTGTTTTGTTCACTACGAATATTTTTCATATATATCAAATAGAAATTACACAAATCACATACATTCACCAATAAAACAAACAAATAAACAAACCAGTTCAAAGTGTTTTATATTATGTAATAGTTACTAAGTGAATTATTTCTAATGAATTTTAATATAAATTAAATATTGTCTTATTGGTCTCTTCCCCCTCCCTTCGTCTCTCTCTATATATGAATGGATGAATATCAAAATTAATTGTTTTCTGATAGAGACTAATAATTTTTTTGGTGTTTTGGTTTTGGTTTTAGTTATGGAATAAACTTATTGTTAGGTCATGTGGATAACATTAGGCGACATAAATATAAATGTATGTTTTGAATGAAATCATTAGAAAAATAGAATAGAATTTTAATGGTTAAATTTCAATAGAAATCATGAAATTTGATAATTCATTTGATATTGTTTGTTTGTATCTTCTCATTATTGTATAGGATTGCAGTTGATCAGTCTGTTATTGGCATATATGCTTATTGTGCGTATTGCTTCGATATTGCTTTAAGTCACGAGCATTTTAATCAGAGATGGATGATAGTTAGCAATGGAATCAAGGACGCGCAGTTCGACCTATTTGGGACTCGTCACTATCCATCATTGCTTACAAAAAGTTTGTGAATTAAGGTAATATCGAGGCATACACACAGTATGCACATATGCCAATAACAGACTGATCAATTGCAGTCTTAAAAAAGACTGAACGGGAAGATACAAGCCAAACAATACCAAGTGAAAAGTAAAGTATGTTGTGAAGGCGATTACTTTTGCTTGAAACGTAACACTTTTTTTTCAATAAAAACGAACATATATAAGACTCGTCAGTTGGGTGTACCTGCATCACAGAGTTGATGTTCATTTCAATACTCAAAATCGGTATCCTTTGCTTCAAACGCTATCTCGTTATCTCTTTGGCCAATATCGATGTTTGCTTAAAAATACTTGTGACTTAATGAAAAGAATCAAGAAAATATGCACAGTATGCACATATACTAAATGAGACAATGATATTTAAACATTCTTTTCATTAATTTTATAGTTGAATTCATGAGTCAGTTTAAGCTAGACCACCACTGGACGACCGTTTCGTCTTAGTATAGGACTCCTCAACATTTTCATTGTTTAGTTGTTTTGCAATCAACAAATACTTTAAGTTCAGGAACGCTTAGGATACATTAATTTTTATTCACTTTAAACCATTTCGCATTTGCGGCAACTCATTCGCTCCATATTCACTTCCACTGTATGAAACATGATTGCCATTCAGCAAAAGTCAGTCTTGTACTACGTTTTAATGAAATCATGTGTACAACTGACTTCTCCGAATAAAGTTAATCAATAATAAGATGAACAGATGGCAGTCGGAAAGCCCAAACATAACACACAATATTTTCATTCAGATAGGTAGCTGACTGTCATTCTGACCATTGTTTCTGTCTTCACTACCTTCACTAAAACGTACGATATAATTGAAAAGAGCTCTTTTCTATAGTGTGAAATATTGACGAACATTCTTGAAAACAGTTACAGTCACTCACTTAGTACAACTATTTAGTAGATTGTTCAACTTGGAAGTTCTAATTCAAGAAATTATCTTTAATGTATGACTTAAATACTCATGTTATATCGTTTACTCATATTTAACATTAAATATACTTGAATTCACTTTGTATTGTTTGTTTGAACCTTCCCAGTGATATTTAGAAATGCAATTGATCAATCTCTTATTGGTATATATGCATACTGTGCGTATTTCCTCGATATTGCCTTAAGTTACAATCATTGAAAGCAGAGATAAATAGTGGAATGCAGTAAGCACGTTTGGTCTTATTTATAAATATACTGCTAGAAAATCTTCCTACTTCAAGTTGATACCATAAACATTTCCTATATACTTATTTACAAGTCGGGTGTATCTCACATTGTATTGATATATAGTTTGAAGTCGATACATGTGAAAGAATATCTTTGAAGGTATTTTTTCTGTCAAATTACCTGAAATCCATGGTATGAACTAAGTTTCTCTCTCCATTTCAAGAATACAAGTTGAGATATACCACCGATATATAGTGGATCATTTAAATTGAAATTTCTTGCAATGTCACCATTGAAAACGGGTATCTTCAAAGATTGTTCAATACTTTGATTCCGATCAATATATAATTGGAGTATATTATTTTCAAGATCTTTTCTGAAAGAATATGGACAGATAAGAGAATAAATAATAAGGTGAACAGTCATTAGATGTCGTGTGGAGTTGTTTAAATATAATTAGTAGGTAAAACGTAATCATCATTTAAGCCTATCTAAATGTAACTAAACAGATGCCATATTGCATAAATTATCTTCATAGATTATACGTATTCCTGACGTGATGAAAACAGTGGAATAACGTAATTGACTTGGAGATTATAATAATCCACATTTATTCATTGTGGTTTGAATGACAATAAAATTACATAGATATTTCGTTCAACATAAATCACAGCCGCTTGATGAGTATGGATTGATTTTATAACCGGTACTTTATGGATAATAGTATCTAAATCAAACATTCTGGGAAAAAATAATTCGTGGTAATCTTCGAGACTATATCGTTTAACCAGTTCTCCTATTTTGTGGTGGCCGTATTGCTAAAGATGCTGAATATCTATAAAGATACTTTAATGCTTCAGCATCTAAGCACAGTCAAAAGTACGATGTCAACCTCCTGCATTGCATTGCACGATTATCGTACTCAAATTACTTTTGAATGGTGAGAGTTCTAGAAATGTATCTGAGACAATATAAGCTCATTAGGTAAAAATGATATTCAAGCCTAACTAGAGTGTTAAAAATTAGGTATTGTTTTACAATTCTAAAGTGATCTTTCTATTTTTCGGTTCATTAGTATAAGGAATAGATTAGTTCAATACATATAAGCCAATAATTTGTGTTTTCTTTTAGATCTTCATCAAGCTTTACTGTGATATACAGTCATATTTAAATTGATATATGGTAATATTAAAATAATCAAGGCAGTTTATTTGTCAAGAATAACAGCGAAATACATTACACAAGTAAATATATAATAAATGAAGTGTACAAATCAACATTTTGAGTGCAAGTGTACTAACACTCAAAAGAAATATAAAAGTTGCGTAATATGTTTTTATGTAGTCGGTCAGTGAAGAATATATTCGAAAATGGGTTGAAGTAGAAATAAACAAAGAATATGGTGAATAATAATATGTACAATTATAAGCAGAAATACATGGTGGCTAGCGGTGGAATTCATTACGCGATGGCGTTCAAAGCGAACAGTATTGTGTTTAAGTCACCGGACGAACATCAACTCTAGGATGTAGGTACATCCACTTTATGAGTCTCAAACAAGACGAAGCGTGCCTCCTGGATTCCACTGCTTGCCACCATCCATCTATGCTTGTAATGCTTGTGATTTTGAGGCAGTATCGAAGTAATCAGTTCAAGATGCACATATATCAACAAGAGACTGACCAACTACAGTCTTAAACATCAATGGGAACGTTAAAACAACCAATACAGAATGAATTAATGTATAGAGTCGTTTGCTAAATCTAATTCTACTAATAAGGAATAAAGGTGCTGCAAATTTCTCATGAATACGGAGACTTTGTTTATTAGCTCAAATCTCTATAGCTTCATGCTACGAGATCAAGACCTCAGAAGAAAAAAATACGAGATAGATTATAAATTGCTATGAACTGTTTGGTTGTGTTTACTTCATGACTGCTACAGATCAAATGTGCTAGAACTCAGCTACATTCTGTTTTTATTTAGTGTAAAACCTCATGGAGATCTGGAAACTATGTTGTTCGTTGATACGTTTATGTAAAGGAAAAATTAAATTTTTTATTTCCGAAGTAGACTGCATTAATATGACTAATAATAGTACTACTGACCGGATTTATACTACCTCTAGACTGGATAATCGATCGATATTATATACATAGACTGAATTAAGTTACATATGAAACATGATTCATGGCGAGATATGGCTAAATAAAGTTCACGCTATACAACAATTTATTCAACTCATTTATAAAGCCAGTCTACACCCAGTGAGTCCAATACAGGGGTCAATAATAACATGGAAATCTCGCACTAAACAGCTAATGTCTGTCAGTCCACGATCAACACTCAATCGCATCTTAATTTCGCTATCATACGTCATGTATTGTGTTAATTTACAATACGGGAATTTTTACCACTTACCTAAACAATTCCACATTATGCCAGTTAGAATCTGTAACACTATATGCAGTCAATGCAAAACGTTGAGATCCGCTTCCCATGTCGAAGACGAAATGTAAATAACCTTTGATTAATTCAAATGCTAAAAAATCAACACCATATTTATCTGAGTTGAATAATATTAAACCGTGTTCCTGAGATGTACGAAATGTAAACTGTAGACGGAATTTCTCGTACAAATGCATAGATGGATTATGTAGGTAACAATCGGATATTTTAAATGTTATGAAATTGATTGTTGTTTTCACTTCGTTCACTGGTGTTGTTATTGATGTTGATGATAATGATGAATGATGGTAGTCGCCATGGCTTTCTACCGATTTATTATTGTGTTCTTCTCTAGGATGATATTCATTTGTAGTGTTAGCTTTATTGCATCAAAAATTCAGAGATGAATAAAAAAAGGATAAATATATAACAGTTCCTTATAGTCTGAAGAAAATATGACTTAATACATGATATTCATGTACCTACAATTCTATAAATTTTGATGTATACAGGAAAAACAATTACTTATTCATAAAATCATACTATCAATTCCAGAACTCCATAAAACACGGCAGGCACTTATCAATAGTGGATCTCCACCTAGATTCATTGGTAAAAATATAGATTCAAAACAATAACGTGAAAGCATGTCTGGAGCACCAAAGAAGATCGTTTGTATATTCCTTATCAAGCTTCGATTCACTTTATCTGTACACATACAATATAAATCATTGCAAGCAAATCCTTCAATAATTATGTGCTTATAACACTAGATCAAATTAGTTACAATTTGTTCAAGACTGTAGATATGTCTTGCGGACTAGTATCAATTAATATGAAACCTAGATTCGGGGTTATCTGCCAATAATCGCCGCCCACCTTAAATAAAAAAATGAAAGTATATTGTAAGAAAGTTAGAATAGTGCTATAGATTATACTGCTGACCATAGTCAATGGAGAAGAATAATATGGATCAGGATGATAAGTGCTCTATGAATATTATTATTACTATTAGTATTATTCGTAGTAGTAATAGTAGCAGTGGTAGCAGTAGTAGTAGTAGTAGTAGTAACATATCAGAAATATAAATTATGAAGGCAGAATGATAAAATAAACAGACATTTGAAAGTCGGAAGTTAGTTAAAGCTTAAGCACAAATGATTTGTATACTATGAAAAAAGAAAATGTTTAGATAATCAGTCCAAAATATATAAATAGCAACGACTGAACACGAAAAGCTGATTAAAAAAATAAACAAATAAATAGAGATTGAAAGAATCAGACAATTCGTTCATTATATCTTCCCTGGTTAAGAAAGAAGATATAGGAATATGTGTGGAAAGATTAGAATTGTTTTTTATTAATGATTTTTATAAGCCCCTCAATATGTAGGAGGCAAGTCTGGAATTTAGTCGAGTAAAAATGAGAAAGAATATGTTGAGTGTCTCTAAATATTGGTTTTATTTATAATGGTCACTATTGATAGAGTGTGATTGGCTTACTATTTTTGCTTACATGCATTTAAGTAAAGTAGTGTTCTTAAGGGGGACATAATGAAAATCTAATTAAACACAGTAATAATAGTTATAAACAGAGATGGATGGTGGCTAGCATTGGAATCGTGGACGCGAGTTTGGTCCTATTTTGGACTCGTCAACTAGATGTATATGCAGTCCTAAACGTAAATGGAAATATTCAAACATCCAATACAAGTACTAATGGATTTTGTGTTTCACTCTAACTTGTGCAATGTAGATTTTTAATATTTTAATAAATTAAAGTAAAATGTATAAAATGAACGTCTATGTGGAACATAGTTAATATTGAATAGTTCATTACTTTTAAACGGGTAAGATAGTGTTTAATAGTGTTGAAATTCTATAAGTTTTGTCATGAATCCACTTCAACTTTCTTATAATATCCACAACCTTACACCATTGAAAAATCTAGATGAAGATAACTTTCATCACTAACTGTGAACTATTTCAGAGCATCTATAGATCCATAAAGCATTGATTAGTTATTTATTGATATTATGGGTCATTTTATCACTTACAACATGTGTACGCAACTGTATTTGAGTAAGATTAATATTTAAAACTATGGTAAAAATTAAAGTGGAACCGTAGTAATTATTCAGAATGTAGATGATTTTCTATTTTGCACATTTATACGCATTGGGTTAATACTTGATAATGGAGTTCGTAAAATAGTAAGTCTATCATTCAAGGGATATTTCAGCATATTAGCCTTTGTTATTAATTGTGAAAACATATGATCTATTGTGGATCGCTGAGCAAAAATTAATCAAAGACCGTATACTTGAAGGCTAACAGTTTACTTTGTGAAAATTAATACATATCTTGGGTAGAGTCTGAACATCAACTCTATAAATTATGGTCATCTAATACCGAAGAACAATTTCGCGATAAAAACACAGTTCAATATTAACACAATAATCAATTATACACAAAGATGGATAGTGGCTTGTAGTGGAATCCAGGACGCGCGTTTCGTCCTATTTGGGACTCGTTAACTGGATTTACCTGCATCTCAGAGTTGATGTTCACTCTGGGACTCAAACTAAGGCTATATCGAGGCAATACGCTCAGTATGCACATATGCCAATAACAGACTGATCGATTAAAGTCCTAAACATTAATGGAAAGATTCAAACAAACAATATCAAGTGAATAATAATCGGTTGTTCGTACATATACATACGATCTGTAATTACAATGCTGGGACGTCTGATGTTCGCTGTTTACCTAATATTGTGTTCAACTATTTCTTAAGTAGCTCACGTAGAACACAATAAAAATACCCTCTCCTGATTATTAGAGTAAAACAAAATAAAGAATTCTGAAATGAAAATTACTTACAAGATATTGTGTGTATCCGCTTAGAGTTCAATTGTGAATCATTTGACTGATTCATATTGTTGGGAAAATTGATTTGTGTTTTATAATTTGGTAAATCGACCTAGATAGTTGATCAGACAATGGAATGAAAAGTAAAGAATATATATGTTGAAGATATTTAGAAAGCAAATGTTTTCAAAAAATTATTCATAATTATTTATTATAATTTTAATAGTTGAATTCATGAGCCGGCCACTATTGAAAACCTGGAAGCATTGGATGGCCTTTTCGTCCTAGTATGGGACTCCTCAACAGTGCACCTACACGATCCCGCATGCGGAGCCCAGACCTAGAACCTTAGGTTTCACGCGTGAACGCTTAACCTCTAAACCACTGAGCCGGCATCCAACGGTGTTAATGTCTAACTTCAATCGATCCATGATCTTGCGCAGTCGTTCATCCATTGTCTGAGGTAGATACCTGTTCCTACCCCAGATGGGTTGGACACCACTGGTTACGGCTCCTCTCTAAAACTCTAGGAAATCCATTTTGAAGCCAGTCATTAGTGAGCACATGATGATTACTATTAGAATGGGGGGTTTATGGAGGTCGTAGTAATTTTGGTAATTGAATTCATGAGTCAATCTAATCTAGTGCTTCCAGGCTTTCAGTGGTATTGTAGCTTAGATCAACTCATGAATTCTACTGTTAACATTACTACAATCTTCACGAACCCCCATTCTGATAATTATTTATAGTGTTTATGGTGTGCCATACATATTATTATATGGAATATCATAATACTTTTCGGTCACTCACAACATAGAACCTGGTATTTATGTAAATCAGTTCGAGTTGCCATACCCAATAAGCACAGGCAGAAGAAACTATTAGGCCAAATTCCAAAATAGTAGAGATGGTAACGATATTAGTTGTAATAGAAAAGTTTAGTCATCCACGATACGATCCAAGGAAATTTAAATTAGTGAAATTAAAACAAACAAATTGTGAGGAATTTAGAAGCTCAAGATTTTGGAGAAGACAGAGGGTTTGATGTACCTGCGTCACTGAAGAATATCTTGCCTACTCCACAAGTGATGCAATTTAACAAAAATCACTCGAGCTGTTTAAATCTATTCCGAGGTTTTGTCAAGCAATAGATTATCAGGGCTGCCAAAATTCCAGAGATAAGTAAAGCGATCAATACGTACAACTTCATACCCTATCGTTTATTTCAGATGCCGAAGTATGTCAATCCTGAAGGAGGGAGCGAACCTAATCCCGAACATCCTTGTATAGTTGCTTAAGGTGGTTAGAAGACTTCGCAAAATGTCATCGTCTTCATCAAGCTGAACTATATCATCTGTATTTTCTTATTCAACAAGTGAATGTCCTTACAGAAGATCAACCCCTTGAAATGTTAGATTTTGAGATTGTTATTTCTGAATATATATCTATGACAAAGCTAAATAAAAATGAATACGGTGGACAACTTTAATGAACACTACATCAAGTAATTGATTCGTCATAAGCTCTAACTTGACCAGTAGTGTTTGAACAGAGATCCTGTACAAGACTAACATACCTTTTTGGTACGCCTATCAATGATCGACACTATAACACAGAACCTCACGATCAACATAATACTTGAATTCCAAATTTCCATTACTTCTAATCAGTACAGAGTACTCAAAGTATTAACTTTATTATTCATCAACTTAAGCGGTAAATTCTTCAATTCACCAAGTAATCCTTTCGTAGGTCTTCCCCACTATTTATCGTTTGAGCATAGTTTAATCAAAATTCAAAATCATTCACATTCTCATCATTTAAACGGTTCATTTTGATGAATCCATAAATCTACCTTGTTTCTAATCTAAAATTTCATTGATGGTAAATATTCAATTGATGTATTTCAGTTACCTTAGATTCATTAAAATAAAATTACTCAGTCATTGTAAACGTTTTTCTTCAGTAATATAAATTCGATAAGAAAACAAAAACAAACAAACAACATTTGCCAATATCATATCAAGTGACAGTTTTAATTGAAACATAATACAATGATAAATATATCAATATAGTAACGAATTCTATCAATTAGAATGTTTTGTTATATTTTGTGAATGATATCAATGTATAACAAAACTATTGTGAATTATGGTAAATAATTAAGTTTATTTGATAGTAATCAATTCTGTATTTACTATGAACACATTTAGATGTACATTGCATATTGTTAGAATTTAAGTTAAACCATTGTATGTTAATTTCAAAAGAAGCTAGACCACTATGGAAAAACTGGAATCACTGGGTGACTATTTCGTCCCATTGTTGGATTCTTCAGTAGTGTATATCCATGATCCCACCTTGTGGGATTCGAACACAAGCTTCAATTGATTCATTATCTCAACTATTGAAATTGCTATAATATTCACAAAAACCCCTTCTGATACATTGTATATTACTTTAATTAGAAAATTTTATTTTGTTTCAAATAGAAAATGTCACCTTTCTACTCATAAATAATAAACAAAATTAAATATTGAATTAATTTACTACTCATTATTGATAGTAAGGATAGAAAATGTGACCAATCTGCTCTGAAATATATAGATGTTGTGAGGATCATCTTGATTTTGGTATTATTGAAAAGGATTTTTAAACAGAGATTGTTAGTGGATAGCAGTTAAATATAACTTAAGTGTTTTGCACTATCTGAGACTCATTAGCTTGATGTACCTGCTTCCCAGTGTTGATGTTCACTTGAAATTGTCTGCAGTCCTAAACGCCGGAAAATATATGTTAAATCCTCAAAATTGAATTACAACTTATTTCCATTAAACAAACCATTGTCTATGCATACTCAGTGGCTAAATGAGGCAGACGTAACTGGATCAAAGTTCTAGAGTGAACCTCAATACTCAGCTGAAAGCATAACCAGCTGAGGAATTCGTATAAGAAGGAGCATGGGTTCTGGACTCCATTCAAAACCACTATCCATCTCTGTTTTGAACATACAGATGTTATTTCCATGAGTTGGGCTAATAATTATTTTAACTAATCTTAAATTTATAAAGAATTGATTATTAGTAAAATCAATAATTTTATTTCCAAAAACAGCAGAAGCCAAGAGTAATGTTTGTAAAACCATCTGATAACCATAACTACTTTAATGTCATAAAAATAACTCTTATTTCATTTTTGTGCTCGAAGATGTTTAATTGTTAATGATCTTTTTTTTCAGAGGGTGGACTTCGAGTTCCGAATCCTGCGAATTTAGAATAAAACAATTCCTGCTTTAACATAAAACCGCTAATAATTTCGAGCTATTACATAAGAAATGTCCGATAAATCTTGAGTGTTTATAAACAGTGCAATATTTCGTGAAGAGATCGCTTACTTTTTATATCCATTTTTGCATCCCTATAAATTTGTTATTTTCTAGCTGTCAAGATAATTGAGTATGTAAGAAATAAAGCTTTAGAAACTATGGTAATGTAAATCAAATGCCTTAGGCCACAATAAGTGAAACTAAGTAACTGAAGAAAGTGTGACTACTATATACTACTAATGTAGTGCTAAAACGCAGGCCAATACTACTAAAGGTGACTATTTAAAGGGCTTACTTATACTTGTTTCCCCTCGTGAATTATAGACCACCGACTAGAATAATAAAGGTAAGAATTGCAAAAGGGAACAACGTTTATAAGGGTTGCAAATTTCGTCAGTTGACCTTCTGTCCTTTTGCTTCTACAACCAATCGACTGTTCAAAACAATTAAGCCGAGAATATCATATCGAAAAAATATTCAATGATTAGTGAGAATGACACACTGTTAAAATTTCATTACTGTAGAATCTCATACAAATCATTAGGCATATAAAAAAAATTGTCAGCTACGCTGTTCCAAATAGATGTATGAGATAATATATCTAGGATAATAAGAATAACAAATTGTTTTTATTAGTTGAGATCATGAGTCAATTAAAGCTAGACCACGATGGAGAGCCTGGAAGCCCTGGACGGCAGTCTCTTCCTATTGTGGGACTCCTCATCAGTTGGCACACACGACCCCGCCCCCCCGGGATTCGAACTCGGCTCAGTGGCCTGGTGGTCAAGCTCTCGCGAGCGAGACTGATGGGCCCTGGGTTCTAATCTCGTGAGGCTGAGTCGTGGATGCACACTGCTGAGGGGTCCCACAATAGGAAGAAATGGCCGGTCCAGTGGTTCCAGGTTTTCCATGGTGGTCTAGCTTCAATTGAATCATGATCTCAACTATTGAAATTACTACAGTCTCCACAAAACCCCTTCTGATACAAATTGTTATTTAATTCAAAAAATCACACTAACTGCTAGATATTGACTCTTCTTTGAATGTTTTGAATAGTCTTAGAGGTAAAGAGACAAATGATCAATCGGCAAAACTTCAAATCTTTAAAAAAATTATTTCTGTTTCTGATGCTCGTCTTTATCAATATACGTTTTTCGGATAGTCACTCTTTTGCCGTCATCTTTATGAATAACTACCCAAAATAACGGGTTCATAATAATACGTTACAAACTTACTAACATAATGAGCTTACAAAAGATATAACTGATGACTTTTATAGATTTTATTGTGAAACAGTAAGGGAAACTGAAACTTTTCACTAAACGATACTGTACATCCGAATAGAAATGATACATTGATAATATGAATAAGAGATAAAGAACTTTCTTTAAATAAAAAAAATAGGTCCTTAAAAAGCTATTGAAGTTCAATCACTACTTATCATCTCTTATAATTGTATCAATAATTCAATGTGAACTTCACCTAAAATGAATAAAACCAAATATTACTTGGAATCAAACATATTCGCGACATAAATAATTCATATTTATCGCATTGTTATTATTATTATTATTATTATTATTATTATTATTATTATTATTATTATTATATACCAGAATGATACAATCAATAATGAACAGCTTACCTTCAAAGATTGAAACATATTTTCACTTGTTTCTATACACAGTAAATATTGACTAATAAAGACAATAATTATCATGTCATCAATAATACAGTTATACACAATATCATTGTCACATTACAGTTTACAGTATGTTCTATTTTTTTAATGAATGGAATTGAATCATTCTGAGAGAGAAAAAAGCGAGGACTGATGATACGAAGCACTAACTGTTACAATGTCTATTTTGGTAATTTATCTATGATAAGAAAAGAAACAATAGACATAATGAAATTAATATCCCATTAATATATCAATAATATATAAAGTTAGATTTATGTATAGTTCGATCAAATATTATTACAATTGAATTGGACTTACGATTAAATCAGTATATTAACACGACTGAAACACGTTATAACTTATATTCGTTTTAAATTACTGCCATTCTATTTGACATTGTTGTAGTATTGTAAGCACTCTTTGATATACAGTAATTAAAACGTATTAACATGAATAAGTAGTAGTAGAGTAGTGAATCAAACTCCATTATCATATTTGAGCATTACTTTGTTTGTTCTTTCTCAATAAGTAGACAACTGTTTGGTCGCTGGTTGGTGATTAATGTCAGATGCTTTCTTAGTGCAGCCGGAATCCTATTGATCAAGTTGCAATATGGCCACAGTCTAGGTGACTCGACATTGTGTGCACTATGTTGAGATAAGATGATGGTTGGAGGTAGTCAATAGGAGACCCTGGACCTAGATTTTGTGCTACTTGACACTTGTCAGCAAGGTGTACCTTGCGCTTGAGGGAACTAATGCTCTATGATGGATTCGATCCAGTATCACCCAGGTTCACTGTCAGAGACGTTACTACCGACCTCCTGTAGGACTGAGATGTATTTATAATTGATTGATCACTAGGTGGTGATCAACACCATGTATGTCAGTTGCTTCCTAATGCAGATAGAATCCTATCAACCAAGTTGTAATGTAACCACCAGTATAGGTGACTCAACAATGAATTATAATTTATTATGCTCAATTTCATTACACAATGATATTATGTTAAACACTTACCTTTACTGTATTGTTTAACAGTAATTTTCTGTCATAGTAAGACTAAGATTATAAGAACTATGTGATATATATTAAAATGATATATTTGGAACAATCTGATCACATACATTATGTTCTCACCCTAAACCTACACTAATAAATATTCAAATTGTTTTTCACATTATTTTCCTTGTTTTCTTTGTTTTCTCTTACCTTCTATATATCTAGTAGACTTTTTTATTATTTATATACAATTTGCGTAAATCTAGAAGGAACAAAGCGCTAAAAATGTTGGCAAATAAATATTCCTAGTGATTTATATTTTAAAAATTGTCACTATCTAAATCTGATGTTCATTTTGAGCAAATGGTTACTAAAGCAATCGGTAAATTATATTAGAATATATTCTGTTTAATATAATCCAATAATTCATCAGTATTGTAGGTAGATATTCAATAGTCAGTCAGTAACAACGTGGAACTTCGTACGTACGTACATCAGATCGAGTTGCCATACTACATTAGCACAGAGATGTGGTTGTCGATTCAAACCCGTAATGGTAGAGATGGTAAGAGTATAAGCAGTAATCGGAAAGATTAGGGTTTAAAGATGTTAGTCAAGGAGTATAATACAGTGAAATAAATTTGGAAAGAGGAATAAAGGGACATGAAGAATTTAGAAGATTAGAATTCGAGAGAACACAAAGGGTGGATGCACCGATGTCATTGCAAACGATTTTGAGCTATATTCAACAGGTGACTTTTCAAACGTTTTGTAACAAATCAATCAATAATATTCGTAAACCATGTGTAAAGCACTTTATTTCTTGATATATCACTTCTTAAAACAACAATAATATCAGGTCACTTGGTTACTAAGATAAGACTAAGTTAATAATCAAAACTAGGTGAATGAAAATTCTTTTAGTTGTGTAAATTATCAATATTGGCTTAGTGAGGTGTATATATTTTACAGAAATGGGTAATGGGTAATAGGTTTACACCTCTTTACGTTAAATTTTAACAGGTTTGTTATTTGTATATTGGATGTTATCTTTTTCGAATTCGTACTGCTAAATTCTGTTATTCAGTATTACACTAAGAACATTATTTTAATACACTGTACTTTATATAAATGTTTAATAGTGTCATAAACAGCCCAATAAAGTACACAGGTAATTATATTAAATATTGTCAATACCTCATAAAATAATGTCACTGGTACTAGTGTGGTTCGTGCTACTGACATTGATATAATTAGTATATGACGCGAGTCAGGAATGTAATGTCTGGCAGCAGAAGATGTGGGAAGATCAAGAAAGGAAGAGCGGGAATAGAAAGCAATGAGTATGGAAATGCAAGAACAACGAAGTTCGAGACAATTATTGAACATTTTGCAAATTAAGTATTACAGTATGGTTTTTCTATTTTACCAAGTAACTCTGTAATTTTGTGCTAAATATAATTCGGTTGTCCTCACCAGTGTTCTCCTTCACTAGACTAGTAATCGTAAATATGACACATTTTTTGTCGTTGTGGTTATCAGTAAAATGGAAGACACTCATTGAGACAGGTGAAGTCGATGTACCTGAATCTCAGTATTAACGTTTATACCTATCACTTCTAAAACAGCATTATTTACTAATTTTTTAAAAAACGTAACGATCTATCGACTTAAAGTGTAAATATTCCGATGGAGAGTACTCAATAATAGTCCTAAATATCAAGAACTGAAAAATATAATTTCTTCCAATGAGTCGATATGATAATTAAAAAATAATAATGACACATTATGAAATTGACTGTAGACCTGGGTTTATTTTACTTACATAAGAATTACCTTGTTTACGGCGTAAACATCCTGAGATACATCAATCATATACAGAATAAGATGAATATTCATTATAAATGCATAATATTCCTTATTTTAAATATTAATGACAGTAATTACTATGTGATATTTTAATATTCTAATTTTATTCAGCTAAATTAGAGTAACACAGTTATTGATTATACTTGGCTGAATGATTTTGAGTTGTTTTTTTACTTCTATAGAATATTTACTACTTATAAAGCAATAAAATAGCAGATAATAGTTAGTGCTGTACTGTTATTACATCTTTACATATTTTTTTAACGAAATATAAATTTCCTTTTCGAATATATTACATTATTTCTGAAATCGTGAGTTCGATCCAGTGTGACAAAGTCATAGATGCACACTAAAGAAGAGTCCTATACTAGAATGTAATAGCTATCCAATGTTTCTTGACTTTCAAAGACTATCTAACTAAGATCAGAGTTGGTTAAGCACCTGGTACGCGACTGATAAGTCCAGGGTTTAAATCCCGCGAGTTGGAATCGTGGATGCACACTGCTGAGGAGTCCCACAAAAGGGAGAAACAGCTGTCCAGTGCTTTTAGGTTTTCCATGATGGTCTAACTTCAACTGAATAATGATCTTAACTATTGAAATTACTACAATCTCCACAAAAACCCTTCTGATACTAAGATCAGAGTGTAATTAAATCTATAAAAAATTATGTATTTATTTATCACTAAAATGATGACGATTTTTAATCTTCACATTATTGATTCATTCAATATGAATTAATGTGACTTACAATGAAATGAGAAAAATGGGAAAAGAAACAAAATATTCTTTATTCATTCTCGTTTGGTAAATTAATTCTTGGATAGATCAACAATAACATACTAATTTAATCTAGAGTCTTAAAAGAAACAGCATAACAACATAGTTGCGAATCAAAGTTTGTACAATTTGAAATACAATTGTATCAAACTGAACTCAAAATAAATTTCAATCATTGTAAGACTATTCTGACAGCTTGAAAAATTAGTTAATTGATTAATGTATTAAAGTATAAGTAAGTAAACGATAATCCCGATTAAAATGATTCAATTTTCAATGACACATTGTAAACTATTTGATGTTTCAAATCGAGTTTTTTGAATTTATTAAATATCTATGGTTTAAACAAGTATTAGCTTCATTTCGTGAATATATCTTCATCAATCATCTTACGAATAGATTATTAATGGTAAAGATTGTTTTTATTTACGCATAAAAAATATAACGTTTTAACTATTTGATAAATTTTACTAAAATCATAAACCGATCAAAGTTTTATAGTTGCTAAAAACCTAGAAACACAAGATGGTCGTTCTTTTCTAGTACGGGACTCCTCAACAGTGAGCATCCTTACCCAACTAGTGAGAACGTGACTTAAGATCTTTAGGTTTCTGTGGAAAATAGACAAGTATTATTTCGACTGTCTAAGTTTCGGTAAAATCCAGATTGGTATAGTTGAAGAAATGTAATTAAAAATTTGTGATTTCAGTTAGTTAGCTAATCATTTTGCCATACAAAATAGTCTTGTGCTAAACAGCATTGTAAAATTCCTAATGATCTAAGTTTGTATATGAGACTATAAACTTAGCGAAATAAGTGTTCATAATTAGAATAAAATGATTAATTAAAATTTTTCAATCGTTTCACATATTCATAAGTAGAAATCTTGGACGTATGAATGTGGTTTTTGTTTACTTGTAGAGAATCTCATGACAGAAATGATAACTGAGAAACTTAAGCTCTTAGCAATATCAGAAGGGGTTTTGTGGAGATTTTTAGAAATTTTAATAGTTGAAATCAATTGAATCTAGACCACCATGGAAAACCTGGAAGCACTGGACGGCCGTTTCGTCCTAGTATGGGAATCCTCAGCAGTACGCATCCACGATCCCACCCCCCGCTAGATTCGAACCCATGAGCTATCAGTCTTAGCAATAACTAATTGTTAGTATGCCTTAGTTTAATCACTAAATGCAAATAAAGGTTATTTATTTGATTACGGGTATTATTATCGCTTTGAATATTTATACATTATTAACCTATTACATACTTTTTTAAAAACTGAATTTGTTTCCATTACTTGTTTCCTATGATGTAGATTTATATACATAAACACTTTGAATATTCCTTGTGTACTAAGTCAATTGGCAGTTTTCTATTATAAAAAATGTTTTCCATTCGATAATAGCATTCATATAAGGAAAATATACATGACACCCTGTGACTTTTAACAGATATGTTAGAGTACTTAATCAAATTAAATTCTGAAATGATTCACAAATTACTTTGTTTACTAACAATAACTATGAATGATATAAATAAAAGAACTAATTGCTAAAGAGTGACATGTTCATGAAATTCTTGTTGAGATCATTACATTGGCAACTAGACTAACGTAATTCAAATATAAGAAAAAATAAATATTTCCGAGATGTAGTAACTGAGAGTGGATCAATTATTATGTAGTCAGTTTCGATATATATATATATATATATATATATATATATAATTACCATAACATTCATGAAGAAAAGGGTTTGATTATCATAATTAATTCAGTATAGCTATGATCATGTTAAAAGAGATGAACTAAATCCAACATTGACTACATTTAAATTAGAAACATTTTAGATCTCACTAAAAGTTTTGTAATATTAAATATCTAAGTTTACATTACAATGATTTCAGAGTATTTCATTTTCAATATTCTGACTGAATCTTGATCATTCTTAGTTTGTATGTGTAAATTCAAAGTGGATTGCCTCAATATATCCATTATTCCATATATAAAAAAATAGGATGTGATCAAAAGGGGATTGCAAGATGCATCAACTTTTCCACTTTAGGTACATCTAGTTGACAAGTCCCAAATAAGACAGAACATACTTTCCGAATTCATCTACTTGACAAATTTCATTTATTCTATATATAATAATTAGAATAATTAATAACAATGACTCAACAAAATACTATGAGAATGCTTACGTCATTATAACTTAGTCGATTATCCAATCATTCTATCAACAATTGAAATGACTCTTCCATGAGAATATTTGTTAAGTGTATTTTCAAATAAATTATCACAACAACAAAGGAAAAGTAAATAGATCCTGATTGTTTCATTCAATTTTTGTAAATTATAACATTCAATTACTAAATATTATTATCCTCCGGTAATTATCCCTTCAATAAAGTAAGAAAATGGATTCTTTCATTGGCGTTGTTGTTTTTGTCGTTGAAGTAATACAATTAACGCAATTACTAATAAATACATTTGTATAACTTCATTATTATAAAATTTCCATAATTGAAACCTTCAATATTTTCTACAAAATATTATATCAATTTTTCTAAACGAATAAATGAATCTTTTTTTAAAAATGGGATATTCATTTTTCTACTTTAAAATTCATCAAGGTCATTTTTCTGATTGGTTAATTAACTATTAGCCAATCATAATAAAGATTTTGTTTAAATGCACTTTAGTAAATTATATTACATATATATAAACAGCAAAAATTTTAACAAAGTTTGTTTAATTACACACTTTTTTTCTTCTTTATTCACTTGTAGTTTTCATATTTAGATTGTTTTAATTTCACGCTTTTTTTTGTTATTGATTTACACCAGTCATCTACCATAATTCATTTCAAGCTAAACCAAAACTTAGGAAAGATTGAATATTGTGAATTCTTTGATAATTGATTGTTAATTAGACTATAACCAATAAAGTTTTATTAGTGACTTTAATTGTAAATTTGGTTATTAAAGATAATAACAAAAAGAAAAAAAAACATTTCTTCACAGTGTGAAATATATTAACACCAAAATTATTTAGGTAAACATGTTACAATTCAGTGTACATTGAAAATTTATTATAGTTGGTGATGTTAAATAAAGTACGTATCATAATTATATTTAATAAATAGGTTTAGATACAGTCTTATAACAGAAAGGTAATTAGTAATTAGTTTAGCAGTGATGTGATTATTGATTAAACAGTACAATAAAGACATTGCTTATATAAGCTTGATTAACAGATTTGATGAGACTTCATTGAAGTAGATCTGATCTTAACTGGTTATATTTCTTGTCTATAATGTCTCTTAATAGTTTATAAAATGATTGATAGAACTTTAGAAAAAAAACTAGTCTTATTTATGTATAGATCATTGGCGTGATTGTGCTGTTCCAATGTGAAGATCTTGAAAACCATTCACCAGATATTTTAAAACAGGCAAGAAATTATTAAGTTATGAATTCCCAGTCTGGATCAAGCATATATTTCTTTGTACCTTATAAGGCAGTCTGTTAGGTTGTTTTATATCATTTTTGATATTTAAGAACCGAAGTCTGTTTGGTCTACTTAACACGGTTTGTTAGACATGAGTTGTCTTTTCGAGGCTGTGAGTTTTTTAGTCCAACTTCCTCGAAAAATAACACACTAATGAGTGCATCAGCTAGAGATTCTGATTCGCTACATCGTTACTAAATTTTATCACAATAAAATACATTAATACATTTGAACTAATTTAAGGGATGGGATAAGTTCGTGTAACTTTCAATTAATTAAAAATAGTAAGTATAATGTTTGCTTCGGTATAATTACTTTGTTACAGATTACACAGAATAGATGGATTTTATTTTACGGTATAATTTGGAGTGCATATTTCATGCCATATAAAATTCACAATACTCATTGAACAAGTGAGATTTTATTTACAGCTCCATCGAATAAAACTGTACGGATATTAAGTAAAACCTACTGAATTTATACTTCACTATGTATATCATAATTAAAACATTGGTACATTAAACTGACCATTTCATACACATAGTTCCCTTTATTATCTTAAAGAGAGCAAGAACAAAAATTGGTGCAGAATAATCTGAATTCATTTTATTTCATTAGGTTCTCATCAGCTGCTCACAGTCTAAAATATTTAAAATTCAACATTATTACAGATATTGACATACTTATACATAAGAGGGTGATTAAATGTATCATGGTTCAGCGAAGATTCCGATAGAGTTAATGAGGTCATAAGATTTTGTCTCGAATAAATAAAGTTTGAGAGGGAAAGTTCTGGAACATTGAAATAGTGATTAGAAATCATGAAAATAGATTAACGGTAATAAAGAAAATATGAATTGAAATCAGTCAATTATGTATGATGTAATTTAAACTTCAGAAAGAGTTGGGATAATGACGCGTCATTATTTTATGACCTCATTAACTCAATCGGAATCTTCGCTGAACCATGATACGTTTAATCACCCTCTTATGTATAAGTATGTCAATATCTGTAATAATGTTGAATTTTAAATATTTTAGACTGTGAGCAGCTGATGAGAACCTAATGAAATAAAATGAATTCATATTATTCTGCACTAATCTTTCTTCTTGCTCTCTTTAAAACTGACCATTATCAAACTGAATTGAATATATGTCTAGAATGCTACTGTCAGACAAAACCCATCTATTTTGTTTTATAAAACTAATTTGTTATTTCGGTATACTATTTAAAACAATAGGTTTATATTTATTTTAGTATCAAATTGAAAAGAACCACTATAATAATAATAATAATAATAATAATAATAATAATAATAATAATAATAATAAGGGAATTCAGATCTCATATAAATTATACATTATCTTGGCATTTTCAATAATTTTCTAAATTATGATACGTATATATGTCTATACAAAATATTGAAAAACTTAGACTTCAATGTAAGAAAAACTATCCATTTTAGATAAGTTGAAATGTTTCAATCAGATGAAAGCAAAATCGAAAAAAGAAATCACCGTTGGAACAGAATAACCAGTTGTTTTTTTTCAATATTTTCATTCTGACATTTATCGAAATATTTATTACTGAATTAGATAAATATGTTTTTGAAAAAAACATCTATCGAGAATACTTTTATTATTATAATTAATAACAGGAAAAAAACAACACTTCAGCATTGCTGAGGAGTCCGACAATGAGACGAAACAGCCGACTGGTGCTTCTAGACATTCCATGGTGGTCTAGCTTCAACTAGTAAAAAATAAATCTTCAGATTTCTTAACAATAACGAAACGAATACCCAATCCATACAACTTGCAAATAAGCATTCAAATATGTATATGCAACATCAAACAAGATCGTTGATTACTAAATATTTTACATGTAAATATTTGCATATTACTTGTTTTTTAGTGGTTGAGATCATGAGTCGATTGATGCTTGACCACTATGGAAAACCTGGGAGCACTGAACAGTCGTTTCGTCCTAGTATGGAACACTTCCCCCTCCACGATCCCGCCTCGCGAGATTCGAACCCACGACCTATCGATCTCGCGCATAAACGCCAAACCTCTAGACCACTGAACCGGCATCCAAGGGTGTTATTGTCTAACTTCAGCTGATCCATGTAGTTGAATGACCCGTCCTGTATTCGAATCTTGCAAGGCGGGATCGTGGATGCTTACTGACGAGGAATCCCACAATAGGAAAAAACAGCAGTCCAGTGCTTCCAGGGTTTCTACGGTGGTCTAGTTTCAGTTGACTCAAGATCTCAACTCTTAGAAAATTACCCATTCTGATACTTATTTTTATTTAATAATAACATTACTGCTAATTATTTTAACATCACATACTCTGAATTGTATAGTTTAATTATACAATACAAACTTCAGGTAAACGTGAGGATGAATGATATTGCTTAGATAGTTGGAAAAAATCAATTCAATTAATTAGATTTTAGAGTGTAGCACCATCGATAGTAACCAAATTCTAAGTTATCTTCTGTATTATTTTTAAAATTGTGTAAATTACTCGATTGTTTAATGTTTGACTGAATATGAACAGATAATATCCAATACAGTATAGACTATATAAAACTGTTGTATCAGATGGGAATTCCATTATTCATATATATATATATATATATATATATATATATATATATATATATACTTTAGAATAGTAACAAGGCTAATAGCGCATAACCTGTCTATATGTGTAGAGAAACTAAATTTTCTAATATAACAATCACATGATATTAGTTTGCACTTTATTACATGAAAAAACAATCACGTAACTATGTGGCTATTCAAATTAATCATCTTTCCTCAACATAATTAAATATGCCTTTCATTATTTCAAGTAGATAATTAAAGTGAAGAAAAGAGAAACAAAAAATTACCAAGTTGATTACGTAATTTGAACTGAAAACTGAAATATTCAAAGTAAATAATTAATTAAGTGAATTTTGTCATTGGGCTTTAAGTTAAAACATTATTCATTCTAACAGTGTTTTAGATAGTTCAGACATTTTTGTTGAGATTATGATTTATGATGATACTAATGGGATTTTGAGAGAACTCATTCTAGTTACCAAGGTTGAAAGAGGGTTATTAATTAGTGTGACAAATAAGGATGGGGATTAAGAGTCACAGGTTAGGATTAGTAAAGTTGGAGTTTTTATCACGAACTGATATCAGCTATATTGCGGAAAGGTTTTTTAATCATAGGGGATGAATGAACTACACCCCGGAATTCAAGTCTTGCTATCATTAATTTCATTGGTTCACCTATAAATTATAGTCTCGCCAGTATTTTGAATTCAATAGTTAAACTGACTATAGTGTGATTGTTCTCTTCTATTGGGTACTTATTTCCACTAGCGAATTTATTTTTGTAAAAGTGCTTGCTTAAAGGAATTTCGATAGCTTTACAGTCTCATTATATTCAAATTAAACTGAAGAAAAATTCAACTAGTAAAATTCACAAGTATAAATGAACAATGCGAACAATAAATAAATATTTTATCATGTTGAAAATTCCACAAATTTTACTCACTGACGACTTGTCAGTGGTTTTATGATCAAGACAGATGAAGCGCTAACTCAAATTTGAATTTCTTAAACAGTATGTATTACGCAAAGATGGATAGTGACTATGGAATTCAGGATGCGCGTTTCATCCTATTTGGGACTCGTCAGCTGGGTGTAAATGCATGAGTTGATGTTCACTCCGGGACTCGAACTCAACACGGTTCGCTTCAAACGCCATCGCGTCCCAAATAAGAGGAAACGCGCGTTCTGTACTCCACTGCTAGCCACTATCCATCTTTGCTTAAAAAGCTTGTGACTTCAGACTATATCGAGGCAACCCGCACAGGATGCACATATGCCAACATAAGACTGATCAATTGAAGTCCTAAATAACAATGGGATGATACAAGTATGTATTACACTTGATTATGATCGCAACAATGACAAATGCATCAATATTCAGTACATAGTTATGTATCTGTTATACCCGAACAAAGAATAGGTGAATAGTAACCACTAGGATCTGTTTATGGTCTGTTAT